TTCCATACATAATTTCGAAATTACACGTTCGAAAGATTACAAAGCGTAAAAGAAAGCTCAAACCAGTTCACGGAACAACTAAAAAAAAAAGTACAGAAATACACTTTTTATTTTAAAAGTTTCGGTAAATAATATTACAATAAATCGAACAGGATATGTAAATGAACGAAGAATACATATCTCGCGAGTTAGAGAAACCGCGAGTATATTTACGTGGCAACGGCGAGGGGTTGAGAAGAGTCGTCTAAAAGGTTCAAAACTATTATTTTATTCCTGCGTGTGCGCGGACGCGCATTGTTAAAGGAAACTTTTATTTCCGCCGTCAAGGACGAAAGCTCGCCACGTAATATCAGGGAAAGTCCGTGCGGAGTCGTGAAACGTTTAAATCCTTAGGCGCGTATTATACGGCGGAGGAGGGTGTATACACATGTACGTGCGCGCGCAGGACCGGCGAGTAGCGTGTGTCTGCGTGCGTTCACGATGGAGTAACGATATTTATTGTATGTCGGCTATGAATTATGGGCCGTTAACTTTGCCTTCATGACGCGACCCTTTGCTCCGCGACCGGCCAGCCTATGAATCCGCCACTCCGGCCGCGGAAAAATCCATGCATGACTCTGGTGTGGTGTTTCGTTCAAGGGGAAAAAGTTTCTCTTCTTCAACTAATTGTAAGTGGCTCGTTCGCGCGAATGAATTGAAGAGACCACGACGGCGCGGGGGAGGGGAGACATGATAAGTCCGTTTTTGTTGGATTTTCAGATTTCGATGCCATCTGGCGGCTAAACGGGAGTACTTTAATACGACATCGTTGAAAGGGGAACGACCTGTTAAATTCAAAGATACGAAAATATTTGAAAATAGGCGTATGTAACAAGGAAGTAATGTGACAAGTCAAAATAAATTAGGGGAGTAGTGCGGCAAGTCCAAGTGAAACCGAAGGAATAATTTGGTAAGTGAATCAGAAGAATAATTTGATAAGTCCACGAGAAACTTGATTTAAGAAGTTAAATAACAATTTATCGGTAACCTAAAAGGTGATTATTTGGGGAATTAATTATTAACGGAGGAAAAACGGCTGATAAATTCACAAGTTTTTGTAAGAAACACCAAGGTCATAACTAATGTTATGAGAATCAATATTTTTGAAATGTTCAAAGAGGATAATAGAATCGAAACATATATTTAATACAAAAAGCAAATATAAACACGGTTTTGGTAATATGGGATTAGTTGAGAGCGTTTTGAGCTTTAAAATTGTCTTCCTTATGAAAAAACAGAAAATGTGACACGTTATGATGGTTTTTAATTGAATTTCCTTGTATGGAGACACACCGAACCGACTAGCGAGAATATGCGACTCGGGGACGAAGGACAGTTAGAAAAGCTTGGGGTTGTTTCTTTTTATTTTCTTCTCGTTTCTATAAATATTTGCGACTTCATTAGTCCCACGGAGTTCCACTCGAGCAATTAAAGTTTTTAATATGCTGTTCGTGGGAAAGACGCGAGGCAAACGTAACACTTAAGCAGCTTTAACGGTAAACTTACGGGTACCTTGATAAAAAGCGCGATGTTAAATGCTCATTAGCATTATGCCGAGGAAACGGAATGGTCGTGTAACCTCCTCGACGGGATCAATTTTCAATTTGATTCTGTCGGAGCTACTCCGTCTGTGCTTGGGTCAACGATGCTAATGCAATGCGATCGTATATAGGTTTTGTTGTACTGTAAAATGCTTTGCCAGAGCTCTTCGAAGTATTTCCTGCGTCGTTTTATATACTTCATCGTATGATAAACTAAGCTCCAGATATTTTTCCCCGATATTTTTTCATGGTTTGCACTTCGGGCTATAAATCCGCTTTTATTTAGTTAACGATGAATATGAATTTTTTCGAAATTTATATGTAATATACACTGATTGTAATTATCGCGGCAGAAGGATCAGTTATTTTTTTAGGATATGAATAAATAGGTATGAGATGGTTAATTGTTACGTGTCTTCAATTTTGTTATGGGTTAAATTATTGCACGTTTCGTTGCCAGAATAATCGTTCGTAGTGGCTTCTTTCGTTACTCTGGTATTTTTTATTCTTATTCAAGCGAACAAAAATCAGTAAATCCTCATTTATTTGTGTAAATGTAGGACGAAAATTTTCTACGATCGTATACGTATGTACATGTATTAATTTTGAAATGGGTTTGTTTGTATTGTTTCCAAATAATTGTTCTTCACGACAAACAAATTGTCGTGCTCGGTCATGAGAGAAGGCTCGAATAAGTTCGTGCATCCGCGCGCAGAATACTTCCTAGTAATAGGAAAAGCTATTGCCGGTTCGGCGACATTCCAAAAGAATTTACCAGTATATGACGTAACGTAATTAATTCGCGGCAAAACGATAAATGGAAACGAGTTTCCTGGAAAACATTTAAAGAACAGGATCAACGATCCCCGTAGCCCTGAACGGCTGGGACGAACGCAATAAAATATAATTTCAAAGGCCAATTTTTTTTATACGCAGATATTTGAACTCGCAGATATTAACGGCAAACTCGAATCAAGATCGCCGTATATGTATTGAAATCGAATATCCGATATTTTTTACGGATCTACTGACTTTAATATTGTTACGAATTTTACATTATCACGTGTTAATGTTACAGAATTATAACAATATATTGCTACCACAATATGCAGTTTCCTGCAAAAATCACAAAAAAAATTCTTTTTAAATAAATTTACACGCCGATGTTTTATAATTTTATATAAATTTATTATTATATTATAGATATCATTTTAATTAATAATATTAATATAGTAGAATATTGATTAATTAAAATTGAATATTAACACATCCACGTGATGCCATCCACCGATAACCGTTGAGAGAACAAAATCACGTGTACCTGACAGCGGCCGTGAAAGTATTATGTACATATAATGTGAATGTTTATGGAAATTATCATTGTTAACAGATCGGTAGAATTTTCTATTGAAGGAAATATTGTCAGTGATTTCAATGCAACCTTAAGTTCTTTCTGAGTTATCCTCTATTTCCGAAAGCACCGCAATCGCCATTCTATTGTGCCCTCAGCTCTCAGCGTACTTTTTGTAAAAAGAGGGTGCAACGGTATATACCTGTCCTGGGCTGGGCATGGCGATGAACGGAATTCTGGCACTGACATGGAACTTCCCCCAGGCCCTGACTCCTCTCTTGTAATGACTCGTCATTATGACTGGGTCCTCGAAGATTGTGAAAAGTAATTTTTGTCTTGCCCTTCCGCAACACCGGGTTTATGACACGTTTATTTGCTGTGGCGATTGGGCGAACTGGAATTCTTTACCTGGGCAATAAACCATGACTTCTCGTGGTTCATACCATGTTCTCTATCTCCACTGACCTATAACGAGCGAGCTAAGAATTCACCTAATCATTATAAAGGGTCCGTAACCGTATTACGAATTAATTATTTTTCTCGTGCATACTCTCTACAATAAACAATTTATAAAAAAAAATAAGGTTGAAATAGTTGCATTATAATAAAATAAAAAGAATACGTCAATTGATCGACGTACTAAAGAAATCTTTTAGTGTAGGTCATGGAAAGCAATAAAATGTTCTGTAATAGTTTCTTCCTTAGTCAAAAGCCACAACCTATAAATAATTAGGATTCTATTGAACTATCATAAATGTTTTTTTAATGATTACAATACAAATAACAGTCATTTCGTTAATATATAACTTCCAATGTTTACAATTGACAATCAATATTTGCACAATTTTTATCGAAACATATATTAAGAAAGTATACTAAAATATTACACCTTGAAAAGAAATTTTTTGCAAACGGCTGAATGACTTTTAAGAATAATCTTAATAATTGCGTACCGTAAGCATTGCGACCACGCCAATAAAACTACCATGTTTTCTGTGGTTACAGAAGTAACTTTAAAAGTTGTACGTTATACATAGCAAAACAGTAACAAATGCTGAAATTTAAATAACACACCAGAACAGCAATTTCGGTCAAATCAAGATGGAATATTAGCTGATGTTCTTAAAAATTTTAATTTGGTTAACTGAGTTTAAAACGGAAAAAAGAGGAGGACCACAAGATTAGTACTATTGGGAAACTTGTTTCTAATTTATAATTGTAAGTGCTACACTTTGTGCACTTATAAAATTGTAACTATTTTTCGATAAGTAGTATAAAATAGTAGACGAATACTTCTTACCATTTATTTCAATATAGGGTAAAATTATGACCCGTGTGCGTAAAATGATAAAAATGTTATTCGGTACTAATGTTTATAATATAATAATAATTACAATCATAAGTATTATCGTTGGAGTTTCTACACAAAAATATAAATTACAATTTGTGGTATTCAATTTGTAAAATATTAACCGCAATGAGGAACTTGTAGATAAAATAACAAACGTTAGAAACAATGGTAGATCTGTTCGTAAAGATTCTATTTATCCGGTTCTGTACACTCAAAAAACCTGAGGAAACCATGTACTGAAATTTGATATTTCTTTATAATGAAAGATTGTATCATACAATACAAATGGATAAAAACAACTCACAATGGATGCAGGAAGGTTTCAGACACCTATATTAACGTAATTATACGTTTTGACACAATAAATCTTAGAAGTACCATGTTAATACCTAAATGAATATCGATTGGTAATGAATTAAACGAAAATATGTATTAATATTGGAATCTCGGAGATGGTACTCTTATACCGTAGTTTACAAAAATCTTTTTTCTGTAAAATATATGTGAATATAATTTCCTTGATCACTTGATTCTAACATTCTAAATGCAAAAAATGCAAATATACTGGCATAAGCAGTAAGCAGATTAAGTTTGCTAAATTGTTGAACCGCTTTTTTGTTTTTTGCCGTGAGCAATATTAACGACGGACGTCTTTAAAAGTTAACATAAATGCTGTATCATATTCATCGATCTCTTGTACTATTTAATTAAAATAGTAAAAATTAAAGATCAATTGACACGGCATTTGTGATAAATAAAGGAAAACTATTTATTACGAAAAGTTTCTGTTTTAAAGCATCACAAAATCCCGGCCTGTATTAGATTTTTCACTTTCCGAACTTTCACTACCTTCCTCACCCTCTACCAACTCGGGCGTAGGAAGTTTTTTATCTTCACTAGGTGAGATTTCTTCAATCTGTGTATATTCCATATGTAATTCTTTTATACTAGATTTCTCATCTCTGCAAACGGAAAAAATTATCAGTATACTGTTACTGTGATGTTTTAGTAAAATATTACGTTGCATTATTTAAAATTTTAACATACGAATTCAATAAAGATGTCTCATCAGAATCGAAATCTTTTTCTTTCTTTCTTTTCTTTTTACTAAGCTTCTTGTCAGTTTCCGATGTTGAACCATAATAATCATACTAAAAATAAATTTACGTACAATTTATTCCATAGAAATACGAAAGAATTTAAAAAAAATACAAACTTGATAAAGTGGCCAAAATGAAGCAAAGAATCCAACATCTGCTGTTAAATTTGGTAAAAGCCAAAGATGACATCGGCCCAGTGTTGGAACCCAAAGAAGACAGAATACAATCAGTCTAATAATTGCTAATGCCAGAATAAATAAAAGGAATCCTGCAGCTGCAACACTAATATAATATACACCAACACGAATTGTTGATGGCCACAATGGGAAGAGACAAACACCGATTGCACCTAATACTACAAGGGTTCCAAAGAACCAATAGTACACTGGGATTGGTTCATATATCCAAACATAAGCATCATTGCAGTCAACAAAATATTGATCCATATGCATTTCCAGGCGTACCTAAATTAATTGATTCATTTTAAATTGTTTTGTATCCTGTTATTCTTCATATTGGATAATATCTATATTATTTTATGAATACTGGAAATATTTACATCATTCCTTACAACTCACTTTTGGTTTTTTCTTTTTCTCTTCTACTTTATCTTCACCATCTTTTCCACCTGTTGCATCTTTGTTGTCTTTAGAATATTCTTTTTCTTTCTCAGTGGATTTTTTATCTTTCTTGGGATCTTTAACTTTCTTTTTTATTCCACGTATTTTACATAGTTCTTCTTCAGAAATTACTACTTTTTTTGCTCTATGAAAGAACTTATGTCTTAACATCAAATCCAGAAATTCTGTAACCTGCTCACGTGTTTCAAATTTGGATTTACTCCATGGTGAATTCTCCAAGAGAGCATCCACTGCACGACTACCAGTGAAATACTCAACATTGTGGTTTCTGTCAAATTTTGTTTTCTTTGATGGCACATTATTACGGATCCATTTAGCTACTGCATACTCATCTTTAGATGGTTTGTCTTGAACAACTTCATGATCTATATTTGCCACTTCCTGTAATAGACAATATAAACATCACATTTGACATTTCAATCAAAATTACACATAATACGTATTAACCCTACAAAATTAACATAAAGCTACTAAGATTAAATTTGTCACTGTTATGACATGTTTTCAAATAAACTACGATGTGTTGCATTCCGTTGAAAAAAAGAAAACTGAATAGTATAAATTTCGATGATACAGATGGTGAGTCGACATATACCGGAATGTCATTGAAACTACCGTAGAATTTTTTTTGCAGAGAACAAGCTTTTAATGGAAGTGCTAAGTATTCGTGAATAAGAAAATAAAGTAATTTATAAAACATGCACTTATTTGTACAATTCAGATCAATTTCAAAACTGTGTACAGAATGAATGACTGATAAGTTTGCTACGTCATCCGTCGGGCTCCGTTGAAACACTTCACACTGACACGGATTTCAGATAAATAAAATTATGTTAACGTAACACAAAAACAAGTACTATATGTCTAGTCACAAAATAAATAAAGCAGCACATATACACGGTTACTAATATTGCAATAATTACAGCCATATGCGATGCTTACATCTTTGCGCTTCCTGCTTTTCCTACGTTCCGCCATGTTGTAAATTCCGTTCCACGCTTGCGCACTCAAGCTTATCTACTTATTAGCAGAAGCAACAACGTAGCATGTGCTTCTGCGTAGCATTAACCGGAAAATAGTTTCTTAACGATTTATATCTCAAAAAATTGCTCCCAATTTGCTCCTTCTGAATCTGAAATTGCTCCCACAACACCGTTAATAGTTAATGAGATATTCGCAAAAGAAAAGGCAAAAATTTGTTGTTAAGAAAATAGGTAGTAAATGGCCTTTTTACACAAATATTATGGAACCAAAAAATTGCTCCTGATCTGTTTTACAATAATCAATAGTCAGATATCTCAATAACAACCTATTAACGAGGAGCAAACGAAATATTGTTGCATAAAGGTCAGGTAATACATCATATGGTAGGCGCTCGTTTATTGTAGCCTTCGGGGTTATAGAGGGCCAGAATTCCAGGAATATTGTCCTATATATACATACTTTAAAATGTATATATACATTTATTTATATATATAACTACCTTCGCCTTGAAAGTCCGCTGTAACATAGAACATGCTGTTACGAAATAAATGCCAAGTTTGCAGCCATTAGCTCGATATTATCTTCGTTTTACAATACTTTACCGAAGACAATACCGATTGCCCGGGCCTCACCACGAGGAGGTTGCTGCGAGTGGAGGCCCAAGACAGATAGATGGAATCACAAGTTCTGCATCTATCCACCTTTCACAATAAACCTTATAAATAACTTAAATGTTAATTATCTAATGCTATCGCTACTAAAATCCCTCGACGGATGACTTCTTTCTTGAGCCTAAACCTATAAAAACTAAGTTCCCTCGTCGGTTGTTTTCGTTCTTCAGCTTAGAACTAATATTATCGTAATATTCTAATATTGACTCTACTATTGACTATAGCCTTAATAAACTAATGCTATTAATACGAAATAATTTAAACTAAACGCAACGTGGTCGCTAATACTCAAACGAAAAAGATAGACGGAATGAAAAAAGTTCCATCGATCATTTCGTTTACGCACCTAATATTTTATTAAGTCTATGATGAACTACGTTAAACTATATTATTTATTATTGGTCTTCATATGAAGATTTCTGAAACAGACCCTGAAAGATTAGAACGAGATATTATTATTAGCTGTGGATACTTCAGTTTGAAGTTTGAATCCACGATGATTCCTGAAACAGAAAGTCAAAGAAATTTGATAATACGACGATCCCTGAAACAGAAGTTTAAAAGATCACAACAAAACATGTTAATGGACATTTCATTATGCATAAATTTGAATAATAATTGCAATAACAATTTCAATAACAATATGTAATAAACATAAAAATATATCGATATATTTTTATACATATTTTAGTTCGATAATAGATATTCAAAGTATATACCACAATAAAACATGGTTACGGACATTTCATTTTGCATAAATTTCAACAAGAATATCAATAACAACATATACATAATAAGACTAAATAATATAATAACATGGTTTTATAGACATTTTATTTCGGTGGAGTTGAAATTTGATCCCACGACGATACCTAACCTGAAACAGAAAACTCAAGGTATTATCTTCTCATGTTAACAAACTTGTGTTCATTGTCGGAATTTCTGTAGATAATCTGAAACAAACTAATTCATTGGGTAAGAAGCTGAAAAGGAAACGGGTTAGTACATACAAAATATTAACAGTATCAGTCTTTTTTATGGAAAAAAATGAATTTACTAGAACGGTAGACTCGACTATTAAGTAAATGAATTTAAGCGAAAAATGAATTATGTCTCTGTGCAAAGCTAAAACAAGAATAGATTTTATCGCGACTCCATTAGTTCATTTGTGATATGCAATAATCAATATTTAACATAATAAAAGCATTTAAATCGAAATAATCATAATTTACTGTATCGAAATTGAAATTGTACTCGTGTAGAGACAGTAATAACGAATTAACGGCGACTCTACTTGAAAAGTTGCTATCAATATGAAGTATCATATTTGCATTTGCATATTTTTTCAGCTGCAAGCTTTTCATTAATTTTCAAGTTTAGCAACAATCGCGAAGAAACTTTGATTTTTGCAGAGAGATTCAAAAAATTTACAAAAATGTATACTATTTTGATATCAATATTGTATGCAAGTAACGTATTACGATTGAGTAATTAATCTACTAACACCTCTAACAACAAATAGTCATGCCTACTTCAAAAGACTCTAATTAAACTTTAATCTCAAATTGACTTTAATTTTCATTATTCTTGTGTCAAATGTCAGTAATTAATAAAATCTTCAATCTAAATATATAATCTTCAATGTGTATGTAGCAGATATTAGTGGTTCAAGAAATTACAAAAGAATGATTCTGTTATTAATAAAAAAAATTGAACACTTCTTTTAGCAAAATAAATACTTTTTTCAGCAATATTTCCAACGCAAACACTTGGCAAATGATACAGAAACAGAAAAATAGCAGCCACAATAGGGCGCTGAATCTGTCCACTCTTTACATTTCATTTTATTAAAAGGAGAACCCGTGAGTGGACAGTTATATTATATTTCTTTACGCAACACTGAATAATTGAATATAATATGAAAAAACTCCCGAGAGCAGCCACGTAGGGAGCTTATCACTCGCAACACTAATCATTTAATGTGAATTAATATTTAGAAGATTCTCAAAAACGCGAGTGGTGCTTTCTTTGCTTGCCACGTTAATTTAATAAATATAAAAATGAAAAAGCTCCCGTGCACCTTCATCTCATAGTACGCAACACTAACTTTAGGTTGAAGAAATCAGTGCAACCATTTTGGGCTGCGGTGAACCACTCTTTACAGCAATATAAGCTGCTGCTTTGTGGTTCTGATAGTGGTTCCAGCATAGTTTTGGGCGTTTCATGGATCGCAACACTAAGTCCAAACCGATCAATTCATCTCGCAACACTAATTCAACAAAAGACAAGGACTATATAAATCAATTAATGTTGTGATCTTTAATCCAACAAGACTTTCATTCAAATAACAAGTATAAGCAATTACGCTCAGTCATTATCGCAACACTACTCTGAAAATATGAAAATCATTTTAATACAAACACGATTTCATTATTCGCAACACTATTCTCCAAGCAATTAGGAAGATCAATATTAACAATTTACAAGACTAATGCAACCCGCGATATAATCTCATCCGCAACACTAATTCAAACCGCGATTTTGCCCAAAATTGCTGGTCGTTGGGCCGATACATTGGCCAAAAATACTAACTACTACAACTACAAGCGAGTACAGTGACAAAGTAGTAATGACTCCGCATCCGAAGATGCAAAGCCATTCGTTGCTGCCCTCTTCGATACACAGTTTGTGTTGGGCCACTTCTTTTCTTCGGCGGTCCGCCCGAATCTGAAATCCTGAAACTGCTCGGTTGTGGACGATCAACCGAACTCGCAAGAGTCTTGTACGATCGTACCACGAGTGCAATCGAGCAGGTCGTTCGTTTCGACGTTCCTATCCTTCCGACCGCGACCGCGACAAAACTATTTGACAAATTTGAAGAATCGAAATCGAAACCAGAAGCAGACAGCATGCTCCGTCTGGATCAGTTTCGAATCGACGCTACAAATTATTCCGGTAGCAGGACTATCACGCGAAATGGGGGGCCTACCCGATCAGAGACTGTGATAGCCTGCCCCGGCCCCTACCGACTTACAATTTAATCATACATTCACACACAAGAAAGTATGCTACCTGCCTACCTAACCCTATATTTAAAAAGAAATGGCAAAAAACAGATTCTCACCAACACACAACACTCCACGGTTCTCAATCATACGCCCGGGTGCAAATTAGCCTAACACCTAGGGAGGACGTCCCGGGACGCCTCCGACACCCGAGCGTAATACACAACTTTCACACTCTACATAGGTACGTACCATTTTCCTGAAATCGACTGGCAAAGACTAGCATCCATTGCGAAAATAGAGAAATTCTCTGAGTATTATAAGTACGTATATTTGGTATACTTTAAATCGATTACGTGTTAAATTTCTCGCATGATAACGAGAGACTCGAAATTAGTACATATTCCATGGGAATTTTATTATAGACATTGTATAAAGCAAAGGAATATGTACGACCGATACCGGAAATTGTAAAAAATTGTTCCAAGGTATAATTACAGATGAATTGTTAATTGATAGAAATGGAAATCGACGCAATTCCACTGCCTAACCACACACACACACAC